CACACCATCCCTCACGTTTCCACAAAATTTGAGGTAATGCAAACACACACACAAACGCACACACATCTTATCAACGCCCCCGTTTCTCACGACTGCACGAGAAACCAGATACTATATACTCTAAAGAAATATTGTATCCACCGTGCATTCTCATATATATTCCATTTTTATTTTACAACAGTCACAAATGACTGTAAATTCACCGAAAGACTACGTACCTTTATACATATTCTGTTCACGGAGACCAAAGTGTATATAGTCAAATATATATATATATATTTACGATTTTATACGGTCTTCAGTTTGACCAAAGACTTCTTGTATTAACTCCCATCACTCATAAACTCTTCACTCAGACCACAGATTTTTTATATGCACTCTCCTCTGACCAAATACCTCTCATATAAACTCTCTTCTTCACACTCTCCCCTCACTCTGTCTTCTTGTACACTCTCTCCTCACTCTGTGTTCTTGCACACACTCTCCTCACACGGACCGAACACTACCTTTCCTCCCTAAACTCACCCATGACGTAGGAGACGAGGAAGACCCCTTGGAGAGACGCCCCAAGCACGAACCGGAGCGTCGTGAAGGTATAGTACTCGGGGATAGCTGCTTGTCCCACCCCGACGACCACCATCAATACTAAGGCACTCAAGAACACGGGTTTTCGGCCGAATCTGCAATGCACAGGGGTCTTGGATAGGTCTGATATGAGCCTTGGAGGGTGCTGGAAAGGGTCTTGGGTCTTGGAAGGTCAAGGCAAGGTCGTAGGAGATTGTTTGAAGGGGTTACGGAGGAGCTTAGTCCTTGGAGGGTCGTATAAAAAAAACTTTAACAGGAGCCTTAGATGAGGCTAAACGTTTATAGAAGGGTCTTTCGCCTCGGAGGATCTTCGAAAACTCTTAGAAAAGCAATCGAAATATTTGATCTCTGGTCTTTGAGAGGTCTTTGCAGAACTAAAAGGGTTTTGGACGGATGAAACGTCATGGAATGCCCTAAAAAGGTCTCATAATAGCTTTAAAAGAGAGATTTACAAAATATATTCATGATAATAGAAATGCTTACTTCTTCTTCCATACTAAACAAAATACTAAGCATGATAATCATAAATGATTATAATAATAATCATAATAATTCCTATAGTAAAAATAATGATAATTGTACTAATATCAATAAGTATAATAATAGTCAGAGAAAAGATTAAAATAATAAGTTTAAATAATCAAAATCATAATAGCAATTATAGTTACAATGATAATCATGATTAAGATAGTTATGATGATATTCATAATCATAATGATAATTATAAGAACATCTATGATAATAATTTCAATAACAATGATAAGAAATATAGTTAAAAAGTTAAATAAAAGTAAAATCAAATGTATCAAAAAATATATCATAAAGATTATAATAATCAATGGCTGAAATTATGATAAGAATCGTAAAAGAAATTAACAATAGTTATAAAAATAATCATATCAACCATCATAACAATCATATCAATAATCATTATCATAATTATTTATATAATGATTATGATGATGATAATAATACTAATATCAAGATCATTAATAATGAATACAATATCATTATCTATTAATATTAATAATTTTGTTATAATGTCTAATGTTTCTTAATGTTACTGTTAACAACGTTAATGCATTAGTATTTATATAAATTGTTAAAGTAATTTTCATAACAATAATTATGACAATCATAATAATGATTATGTTAATAATTAAGACAATTATTAAAATAACTATTAAAATAATGATTTTATAAATGAAAATATTGATAATATATATATATACCTATATATAACTATATATATATATATATATATATATATATATATATATATATATATACATATTTCTATATATCTATATAAATAACTATATACATATATACATTATCATCCTTATCATATCAATATCAATTTTGATATAATAACGCTAACGTTAACAAGTAACATATACCTTGAACATCCTTGTTCGTTAACAAGAACAAGAACAACAAAACGACAATTGGACGCTAATAATAACAGAACGAAAAGAAAGGCTTAAAACGGAGCGCCCACCTGTCGGACAGATCGCCGAAGAGGTATGAGCCGACCAGCATCCCGACCATGTACACGCTCTGCACATTCGCTCGCAACCACGCGCGGTCGCACACGAGTTCGTACTGTTGACGTGTGGGGTAAGGGAAGGGAAAAACGAGAAAGAATTATTGGTAGGTGGTGGTGAGGGTGGTGGTGAGAGTGGTGGTGAGAGTGGTGTTGGTGGTGAGGGTGGTGGTGGTGGTGATGGTGGTTGAGGGTGAGGGGGTGAGGGTGGTGGTGATGGTTGTGGTGAGGGTGGTGGTGGTAAGGGTGAGTGTGGTGGTGATGGTGGTGAGGGTGGTGGTGAGAGTGGTGAGGGTGGTGGTGAGAGTGGTGGTGAGGGTGGTGGTGATAGTGGTGGTGGTGAGGGTGGTGGTTGTGGTGGTGCTGAGG